TTCAATTGTGGTCAAGGGCACATACCTCAGTTGTGATTTGTCCCCGGTCCTGATTGTGGTCGTGCAGGAGGCAACCACTTGATGTGTCCCTTTCATGTCGATGTTTCTCTCTCTCTTCCTCTCCCCCCCTTCCACTCTATCTAAACAAAAATGAAAAAATGTCCTCGGGTGAGGATTAAAAAATAAAATAAAAGAATACACTAGAAGGAATCAACAGTAGGTTAGAAGAAGCAGAGGATCAAATCAGCAATTTGGAAGACAAGGTAACAGAAAACACCCTACCAGAGCAGCAAAAAGAAGAAAGAATTTTTTAAAAAACGAGGGTAATTTAAAGAACCTCTGGGACAATATCAAGTGTAACAACATCCACATCATAGGGATACCAGAAGGAGAAGAGCGAGGGAGAGCAAGGGATTGAAAACCTATTTAAAGAAATAATGACTGAAAACTTTCCTAACCTGGTAAAGAAAAAAAAAACAAGTCCAGGAAGGGTAGAAAGTCCCAAACAAGATGAACCCAAAGAGGCCCACATCAAGAAACATCATGCCCTGGCCGGTTTGGCTCAGCGGTTAGAGCGTTGGCCTGTGGTCCAGAGAGACGTAGGTTTGATTCCCGCTAAGGGCACGTACCTCAGTTGCAGTTTGTCCCCGGCCCTGGTTGGTTGTGCGGGTGGCAGCCACTCGATGTGTCCCTTTCACATCGATGTTTCTCTCTCTCTCTCTTTCTCTTCCTCTCTCTCCCTCCCACTCTTATCTGAACAAAAAATGGAAAAATGTCCTTGGGTGAGAATTAAAAAAAGAAAAAAAGACACATCGTAATTAAAATGCCAAAGGTTAGCCTGGCCAGTGTGGCTCAGTGCTTGAGTGTCAACCCATGCACCAAGAGGTCACCAGTTCAATTCCCAGTTAGGGCACATGCCAAGGTTGTGAGCCAAATCCCCAGTGGGGGGGCACACAGGAGGTAGCCAATTGATGTTCTTTCTCATCGATGTTTCTATCTCTCTCTTCCTATCCCCTTCTCTCTCTCTAAAATCAATAAAGAAAAAAATTTTTTTAAATAAATAAATAAAATGCCAAAGGTTGAAGACAAAGAAAGAATCTCAAAAGCAGCAAGAGAAAGACAGTTCATTACAAAGGAGTTCCCATAAGACTGTCAGCTGATTTCTCAACAGAAACTTTGCTGACCAGAAGGGACTGGCACAAAATATTGAAAGTGAAGAAAGGCAAGGACCTGCCACCAAGTTTATCTACCCAGAAAGCTATCATTTAGAACCATAGGACAAAAAAAAAAAATCCTTCCCAGATAAGAAAAAGTTAAACCAATATTATAAAAAATGCTCAACAATCTTCTTTAGGAAGAAGAAAAAATAAAAAGAAATATGCCCTGGCCAGTTTGGCTCAGCAGTTAGAGCATCGGCCCGCGGACTAGAGAGTCCCGGGTTTGGTTCCCGCTAAGGGTACATACCTCGGTTGCAGTTTGTCCCGGCTTTGGTTGGGGTCGTGTGGGTGGCAACCACTCGATGTGTCTCTCTCACATTAATGTTTCTCTTTCTTCCTCCCTCTCGCTCTATCTGAACATAAATGCAAAAATGTCCTCGGGTGAGGACAAAAAAATAAAAAATATGAATAATAAAATGACAATAAATACATTATCTATCAACATTACTACTATATTTTAATTTTCTTTTTCAATTATACTTTACATTCAATATTATTTTGCATTAATTTCAGGTGTACATCACAGTGGTTAGATAATCATATACTTTACAAAGTATTCTGCCCTATATTTCTAGTACCCACCAGGCAACATACATAGTTATTAAAATATTATTCACTGCATTCCCTATGCTGTCCAGGATTTTCCTGATATCCTTGGCTCTGGGGGAGGCATTGTCCCAGAGGGTGGTTAGCAGGTAGAAGGTGAAGTGGTGCATCTCAGAGGCTAAAGAGAGGCCTCACAAGTGCAATCTTGGAGATGACAGGCTGGGAAAGTCTTGTCCATTTCTTGAGTTCCTGTTCATCTTTGAAAGTTCAGTTTAGAAATAATCTCCTCAAAGAAGCTTTCTCCCAAAAACCCCTGTTCTCACCCCTCAGTCAAAATTAATGTCACTCCTCTAGAAAGCCATGTTCCTCTAATCTTTTATTTGGCCTTTTCACACGGTATCTTAATTATGTCTCTTTCCCCTATTTGTCTGTGAACTTCTTAAGGGAAAGGTCATCTTTTCATCTTTGTATCCCTAATTCTAGCAACTGGCACAAAGAGGTTCTCAATATATGTTGACTGAAATGAGATTATAAGATCTATCTCCATAAGCAAAACTGGCTAATTTTCCCCAGAGTTTAAGTACTTTGTGACTCATTCACACATATGATAAGTATTAAGATATATTAAATGTCTTATTCTTTATAAATATTTTTTAACTATACCTTTAGAAGCATCCATATCAGTAAATTCTTTATATTTATATTCTAGCCATAAAGTTATCCCTTAATTTTTCCTCAACTCTTCTTTCTCTTCCATCTATTTCACCCTGACCCATCAAACCAGCTACCTAACACATAGTGATTCTTCCCATTCCTTTCCCCACCTGCAAGGAAAGCACTTTTCTAAAGCCAGTGAGCTCTGAGCCATGGAGCTCTACATTACGTTCACATCTCTCAAAGGGAAGATCTCACTTGCCTTTACACTCCTAGTACCTACTGCCACACTGACACATTATAAGTGTGTGACAAAATCTTGTTTACTCACCCCAAATGATAGTTAATGACTAGATATATAAAATGTGGTATGTGATATACAATGGCATACATTTGTCAATAAAGAGAAATGAAGTACTGACACATGCTATAACATTAGTGAATCTTGAAAACATGCTCAGTGAAAGAAGCCAACCACAAAAGACCACATGTTATATGATGCTATTTGTATATAATGTCCAGAATAGGCAAATCTATAGTGACTGAAAGTGAATTAGTGGTTTCCAGAGGCTGGAGAGATTACAAGAAAATAAGAAGTGATTGTTAACAGGTATGGGGCTTCTTTTTGGAGTAATAAAAGTATTCTAAAATTGGTTGTGGTGATAGTTGCACAACTCTGTGAATATATTTTAAAAAAACTGAATTGTACAGTTTAAATTGGTAGATTATATAATCTCAATAATCTGTTCTTAAAAAGGAAAAATGTCTTGTTTGCTTTTGCTACAGAGTTGAAAGGGATTCACAGAAAGTACAGGTATACAAATGGAGATGACAAGTATATCTAACATATATCCCTCTTTAGGATCAGTCCAGCCAGTTGGGTGAGTGAATCTTTAAACATTAGCCCATGCTAAATAGCCAGTGTGTGCCAGAGAATAATGTGGAATAGGTAACAAAAGTAACTCAACTGATTTGACATGAATATATGAAGCAAAGTAATTTAAAGCACTGAGATTCCTCAGATTCTAAGGACCAAGAAATTTATCTTCTCAGAGCTCATTCCACTAAGACAGGCCTTCTTTGCTCTATTCCCGGCTATGGTAATTGGCTGAGAGTACCACCTACCTGTAACTTGTCCCTACTCCAAATGCCATTGCTGAATTGGTGCCCACCACCATTTCCTTAGTCTAAACTAAGAAACATTCAGAAACTAACAGTGTCCTGTTTTTTGACTGCTGAGTCCTTTTCTGAGTTTACTTGCTGCGGTATGCAGAATAATTGCCCTCTAAAGATATCTACATCTTATTCTCCAGAACCTATGACTATTCTTTACATGGCAAAAGGAACTTTGAAGATATGATTAAAGGATTTTGAGACAGGGAGATTATCTTGGATTATCCAAGTATGTCTAATGTAATCACAAGGGTCTTTATAAGTGAATAAGGGAGGCAGGAGAGTCAGAATCAGGAGATGTGATGACAAAACTAATGATCAAGGTGATGTGACTGCTGGCTGGCACCATGAGCAGAGCAATGTGAGCAGCTTCTAGAAGCTGGAAAAGGTAAGAAAACAGATTCTCCCCTAGAACCTCCAGCCCTGCCAACACTGATTTTAGCTCTCTGAGACCCATTTCAGTCTTCTGACCTCCAGAACTATAGATAATATATCTGTACTGTTTTAACCCACTGAACTTGTGGTAACTTTTTATAGCAGCAATAGAAAACTAATACATTTGCCCCACAAATATAATCAATACCAGGCCTAGAACATATGCCTCCTATCTGTAAAGTTGTTGCTTTTATTGCTCAAGATAAAGTATTAGTTTGGAACAATTGTTAACTGTGTCAGAGTAGAAATGATTTTCCCTTTGGGCTATGAAGCTCCAGAACTAACCAATGGAAACTACAGTTTGATCACTGACTAATGGTCAATATAGGCAAAGAAAATACAGAAATATTAAATTCTGTCATTGGGATTTTGAAATATGGATTTCATAATAATACTGTATATCAATAATAACTTCAATTGCGTGTTCTTTGACATGATTTTTGAGGGGAAGTTTTAGGAAGGGTACAAACTTGAGATAGGATAAGCAATTTGAAACGTGGTATTTGACTGAAGGCTTCACAATAGTTACAAACACAAAGATAATGTCCCAGAGATGATAAGGTAAGCAGTAATAGAAAAAAGTTTTCATCTGAGATATAAGTACTAATAGAGTGGTTAAATGATATGGGAGAAAAGACAGTAAGACACAGAAAACTAAACACCATGAAATGATACCAAGATCAGATACTGCCTGGAGCCCTAATTTCTCTATTTCATTAGTTTGAATTTTATCTTTAGCCTAATATGAAACACAATCTCCAAATATTCCAATTCCAGTGTAAAGCTCTTACAACTGAGCTGTGAGTTATAATCTAGTAAGAAAGCGTAAGATTTCCAACAACTCTGAAAATACTTGCTATCCACACTTACTATTCATTCTCTCCATTATTTAAGAAGACTTGTAATGTTATATCCGTTGTCTACCTTCCCCCTGCCAGGTTAAATGTACAACACAGAAATCTCTTCCTTACTTACAACTGCACAGCGTGGCATTTTGGAAGGAATCCCATCTTCCTCTGTTGCCCCATTGGGTCCAGGTGCCTCTTTCCTCCTCTTTCTCGTGTTGACTTTGGCTGAACTCTGTGCATCCATCTTCTTTTAACCGGTCATAGAAAGTGAAAAAGAATTTTTTCTCATTGGGGGAGAAAAAAGTCTGTCACCAGTATTTCAGAGATGTTAACACAGATATACTCAGCAAAAGATCAATTCCATAGCACACATTTCACAAAGAAGAGCCAATTGCATCTGGCAAAAACAAAGCTTCACAAACACAGTCTCCAGTAGAAACCCTGAAATGCCTCTCTGTGGAACAATGACCATAATTAATCACCTGACTTTGAAAATTATTCCCCTTAACCAATCAAGCCTGCATATTAACTACTAATTTCATATCCTGACTGCACTCAAAAGATTGAAATAAGTTGGCTAAGAAAGTCAGTTACACAGCTTTAGTACAACCCCTTGTATCATCCCTGGGTCACCTGGAGGTATGATCAATGCAAGGAAATGTAAAAGGTATGTCTTTGGTGCAGATGGGGAAAAGAGCCTTTTTTTTTTTTTTAAAAGGAATGGCTATCACCAATTCTTGGTTTAACAAAGCATGGATTCATGCTCTGTAGATTTCTGACACCATTCCACCAGGGATCTACGGAAATTGTGGTGTAAATGTCCTGCATCTTTTAAATGTTCTTCTTTCTTCAATACTAATATTCCCTTCCACTTTCAGAGTCTCAAACATCTTATACTTGTTCAGAGTCCCCAGCTATTAAAACCCCACCCAGGTTTCTCTTTCCTCCAAGAAAAAACTTATCACTGTCTCATTTTGCAGAGAGCTTCTAGCAACTAGCTATCATATAAAAGTTCTGAATGTTTAGATGTTGGCTTGTGTTACCTCTCCGATTCCCAGCAAGGATATCTGCATTTTTCTTGGGTAACATAATTTACACAAACAAATTAATTTATTGGTATTGAAATTTTAGGCATCAGCCAGAAATTGGGAATAGAGTAATTTTAATGATCAGCTGCCATCTCTGCCCAAGATATGGTATAGTGAAAGATGAAAGAAAGACTCTCAGAGCAGAGGTAGAAAACATAACAAGCCAGACAGAATGAGGACATTCTACTTTGCATCACTGACTCCAATAAGCCCTCCTGAATAAGATGTTCATCTGAATAATAGCAATTGTGCCTTCTTTCTTTCCTCCAACTAAATACCAAGTGGCATTGTGACAAGATCTATAAGAAACCTGACCTAATTCTTAGAGACTGAAGGTGACACCCTAATACTTAAGTATTAGGCTGACATAAAAAAAAAAAAATTTATTTTAAAAATGAGTCTAAAGTGAAAGACGAACACCACCCAGAAACCTCCCTTCATCATACATGCAAATTAAAATGGAAGGATACTCTACATTTAACAAGTTTTTCCAGTGATGATAATCAGAGCTTTTCTTCATTATTGTTATTAATCATTCTTTCAAAATATCCAGGTCAGTATTACTACTCCCATCTCACTGGTCTGAGAGGCCTGCTAAGAATGTGTAATTAATCTATTTAGTAACCATTTCTAACTTGCATGTGACAGAACTTCTCTGTAAGTATCTGCTAAATTCTTCTCAGGGTTAAGTGGACAAAATCCATTGGAGAAATGCAATCAGCAATCTAGTAACAGGCAGTTCAATGTCAAGCAGTCAATAATATTAAGTATTTACTGTGTACAAGGTACTTTTACATAATTTTTAAAGTAAAAACTGTTTTCTCAAGAAGTCAATCAAGGTGAAGAAGCCATATGTTTAAGATGTAAAAAAGCTCTTTAGGATTCTAAAAGCATTGGAGGAAACTTTGTTGAGGAACAGGATATTTACACAGTTTCAAAGTATCTCCTCATTGATTACTTGTTACTCACAAAGAGAAAGTTACTTTTTTTCTTTTAATTTTTTTTCTTTATTGGTTTTAGAGAGAGAAAGGGAGAGGAAGAGATAGAAACATCGATGAGAGAGAATATCGACTGGACACCTCCTGCATACCCCCACACTGGGGATTGGGCCCACAACCTGGGCATGTGCCTTGACCGGGAATCTAACTAGTAACCTCTTGGTGCATGGGTCTATGCTCAACCACTGAGCCACACCAGATGGGTGAGAAAGTTACCTTTATAGTGAAAAAATCTCTTAGCTAAGTTAATTAGCATCACCAGAATGCCTCATGTGAGGCACTGAGGATGCACTACCTGCCCAAAATGCATAACCTATATGGCTTTATGAGGACCAAGCAGACACATCTAAATAAAGGACAGTCTAGCCCTGGCCGGTTTGGTTCAGCGGTTGGAGCGTTGGCCTGTGGTCCAGAGAGACCGGGGTTCGGTTCCCGCTAAGGGCACGTATCCTGGTTACAGTTTGTCCCTGGCCCTGGTTGGTCGTGTAGGTGGCAGCCACTTGATCGTCACGTCGATGTTTCTCTCTCTCTCTGTTCCTCTCTCTCCCTCCCACTCTACCTGAACAAAAAATAGAAAAATGTCCTCAGGTGAAGAAAAAAAAAATTAAATAAATAAATAAATAAATAAATAAATAAATAAAGGACAGTCTACAAAACAAGCCTGTGTTTTTTCAAAAAAATGTCAATCATGAAAAACAATAAAAGGCTGAGGGACTGTTCCAGGTTAAAAGAGACCAAAGAAATAACTAAATGTAATGTAGAATTCTAGATTGGGGGAGAAATTGTTATAAAGAATAATTATTAGGACAATCAATAAAATTTGAATATGGACTGTGTATCTGATAATAATAGGCATCGGTGTTAAATTTCCCAGATTTAATTTTACAATATGTTATGTAAAAGATGTCCTTGTTTTTAGATGAATGCTGAAGTATCTAGGGATAAAGGGGTCCTGATCTCTGCAACATACCCTCAGCACACACACACACACACAAAGGAAAGTGTGTATATTATATATAAAAAGGCAAAGCAAATATGGCAAATGTTATCAATGTGTGAACCTAGATAAGGCATAAAGGAGTTTATTTTAATATTCTTACAACTTTTCTATAGGCTTTACTTTTATTCAAAATTAAAATTTTTAAATGCTTTATAACAATTTCTACACATATAAACCCTCATATAAGATTGTCTTTTGAGGTCTCTAGAAACTGTCTGGCCGATGTGGCTCAGTGGTTTAGCATCGAGCCATGCACCAAGAGGTTGCCAGTTTGATTCCCAGTCAGAGCACATGCCCAGGTTGTGGGCCAAATCTCCAGTGCAAGGTATGCAAGAGGCGGCTAGTCGATGTTCTCCATCATCAATGTTTCTATCTCTCTCTCCCTTCCTTTCGAAAATCAACAAAGAAAAAAAAGTTTTTTAAAAAAGAAACCAATTCCCTCTCCTTCCTCTTTATTTTTATTTATTTATTTATTTATTTATTTATTTATTTATTTATTTATTTATATTATTTTCAGATAGAATGGGAGGGACAGAGAGGAAGAGGGAGAGAGAGAGAGACATCAACATGAAAGGGACACATCGAGTGGCTGCCACCCGCACAACCCAACCAGGGCCGGGGACAAAACTGCAACCGAGGTACGAGGTATGTGCCCTTAGGGAGAACCGAACCTGGGTCTCTCTGGACCACAGGCTGATGCTCTGACCGCTAGCCAAACCAGCCAGGGCTCTCCTTCCTCTTTAAATCAGAATACATGATACATAAAATTCCAAGAAGTATGTCTAGTAATCTAAATATGTTGCAAGGAGGTTAACTGCAACTGTCATAATAATGGCTATCTTTTTTTTAATACATACTATGTGCCAGGCACTGTGCTAGGCAATTAATACACATATATACAGTGGTTATTAGCCCCAATTTACAAATGAGAAAACTAAGGATTAGGGAAGTTAAGCAACCTATCTAAGAGATCACACAGCTACTAAGTAGAAAAGCCATGGTTTAAATTCAGGCTTGTCTAATTGCAAAGTCCTTACTACTATATTTTGCTATCTTCCAGAAATCTAAGACTTCAAGAAGAAGCTGTCTCACCATTATTGTTGATTCTTTCTATCAAGAACATTCTCTCTACAACATGGGTCCCTTATGTTTTTTTTTTAAATCTTTATTGTTGAATGTATTACACATGTTCCTCATTTTCCCCCCATTGACCCCCTTCTCCCCACACCCACCCCCTCCCGCCTTTACCCACACCGTTGTCTGTGTCCATTGGTTATGCATATAAGTTCTTTGGTTTATTTCTTCCCACCCCCTAATCCCCTTCTCTTTGAGGTTTGTCAGTCTAGAAACCAATTTGTTCTTCTTAATCCCTTTACCTTTTTCACCCATTCCCCCCACCCCCCTCCCACCTGGCAACCAACAAAATGTTCTCTGTATCTATGAGAATGTTTCTGTTCTGCCTGTTCATTTTGTTTGGAGATTCCATTGCCGATAGATATGTATTCATTGCCATTTTGTTTGTTCATATTTTATCTTTCTCATCAAAAAGACCCTTCATCATTTCATATAAAAACGGTTTGGTGGTGATGAACTCCTTTAACTTTTTCTTGTCTGGGAAACTCTTTATATGGCCGTCGACTCTAAATGACAGCTTTGCAGGATAGAGTAATCTTGGTTGTAGGTTCTTGCTTTTCATCACTCTGAATATTACTTGCCACTCCCTTCTGGCCTGCAAAGTTTCTTTTGAGAAATCAGCTGACAGTCTTATGGGAAGTCCCTTGTAGGTAACTAACTGCTTTTCTCTTGCTGCTTTTAAGATTCTTTTTGTCACCCTGGCCAGTTTGGCTCAGCGGTTAGAGCATCGGCCTGCGGTCCGGAGAGACCCGGGTTCGGTTCCCGCTAAGGGCATGTACTTCGGTTGCAGTTTGTCCCCGGCCCTGGTTGGTCGTGCGGGTGGCAGCCACTCGATGTGTCCCTTTCACATCGATGTTTCTCTCTCTCTCTCCCTTCCTCTCTCTCCCTCTCACTCTATCTGTACAAAAAATGGAAAAATATCCTCGGGTGAGGATAAAAAAAAAAAATTCTTTTTGTCTTGAACCTTTTGCAACTTGATAATGATGTGTCTTGGTGTGGGCCTCTTGGGGTTCATCTTGATTGGGAC